TTGTATGTTTAGTTAATATATGCTTACATCCGGGTATGCGACTTTTATACACTCTGGTCAATACTCAAGCTGGGCTGGAAGTGAGATAATTTCAGTGTCGGCTATTACCTCTCATGTTGATACGAGTTTGCCTCCCCCCGATCATATCTCCTCAACAATGTAAGGTTTGATGGACTGAAATAATCCTTGAGCAATTTATAATTAGGACTCATTTCAAAATCAATATTTTTTCTTGTTTTTCTTTTTCCGTCGTGCCTTTAGTCAACTGGAGGATGGCAGTTCTGGAGTTTTCGTGATGGTAGTATCATCTAGATCTCCCAAGGTATCAAGTCCTACATATTTAGTATTCTTAACACCTTTTCCCACTTTCTTGGAATGACTTCTGTTTGATAATGTATATACCATTCGGCTCGTAGGTTTTGTGGAGAATGGTTGGCTTAAAGGGAACATTACAAGTTGAGCGAGGAAACAAAGATGGGAAGCATGGTTACACTGTAAATAATTTTTATTTTATTTTTTTTGGTAATCTCTTACTATTTATTCTGAACGTATCTTGATACGATCATAGGTTGTTCTATTCACGGCTGATGGCCAAACAAAAAGCTGGTTTTACCCATTCAGTGGCGTGACTGAGGAGCTTAAAACATTTCTTTCAGATATTTCAGTGGCGACTCTAAAAGTACGAGTGATTAAATAAAACTCCTACTCTTTGTGAAGAAATTAATACCGATGACTTTTTTTTTCCCTTCCATTGAAATGTCTTATTTCATTTTCATTTTTCATCGGCTCTCTGTACAGAAGGATGGCAGGTACGAGGTTGAGCCTCGTATTTCATTTCTGGAAGGTGCTAGAGATGTTGCTGTTTTGGATGCAATGCTCGAGTCCGGAAAGAGGAAGGGCGAAACTGTCCAAGTGAAAAAGTTCTAGCTTCAAAGGAAAAATTCAAGATTCCATGATGTCATACTTGTTATATGAAGGACAATCATACAGGAATAACCTGAATGCTGAAAAAGTATTCTGCAGTAAGTATATCTGAATTTTATTTTCAGTCTCCTAACTTTTTAGAACTGAATTATTCAATCAATTACGCGGGACCAACACTCAATTATTTGTGAATTCTTTCTGCTGTGGGGTTAAAACAACCAGATGGTTTGGTATATCAAGCTCGATCTTCATAGTTTATCGAAGAAAAAAATCGAGTTCAAGTTTAGTTTGTTATATTTAAAAGTCGAGCTTAAATGAACTATTAATGAACAATCTCGAATCGAATAGCAAGTAGTTTTGTTTGATTTTCGACCACATTCTGGTACCGTAATGTTATTTTAATTGTAACTTCCTCAACCTTTCTATTCTTTTAACTCTGAAAATTAAAAAAACAATAAGAAGAAAAAGGGTTGAGAAGCAGTCAATCGAAATCTAAAAGAAAAGAAAATTGAAATCGTTGCATGTGAGAATTTATTTGCTACAACAAACAAAATCTATGTACTGTGAGAAAGAGAGTGATTAGGTTTTATTTGGTTTGGATCACACTGCATTTTGCAAAGATTTACTCACATCACACTCCAAATGCGTGTTTCATATATATATATATATATATATATACCAACTCTTTATTCTTTAGTCTTGATTATTTTCCCTAGTGATGTAAGTCTTCACTGGTTTTCCAAGATAGTTGCAGCAACTCAAAACAACTCCCATCAATGCTTACATACTTATTAAAATAGCAAAAAAGAAGAAGAAAATCACATAAGAACAGTGATACCATCAAAAAAGCACCAGAATTCTGATTTCAATCGACGCTTTTCTGTAGTTTCGACATCTGAGATAAAAAAGAAATTAAAAAAAAAATGCAGAAGTATCCAGTGCCAGAAGAGTTCGCTCTGAAGCAAACAGCCCCCAAGATTGCCGGCTCAGGTGTGATCACCGGGGGTGATAAAGTCAATTGCGCCTACGACCTAGTCGAGCAGATGGAATACTTATACGTTCGTGTTGTCAAAGCAAAAGAGCTGCCTGTAAAGGACATCACAGGCACATGCCATCCCTACGTAGAAGTCAGGCTCGGTAACTACAAAGGAGTAACCAAGCATTTCGAAAAGAAATCCAACCCACAATGGAATCTCGTCTACGCTTTTTCTCAGGACCAGCTCCAAGCTTCGTATGTCGAAGTGGTTGTAAAGGATAAGGATGTCGTAATGGATGATTTCATCGGTAGGGTTTTCTTCGACCTCGCAGATGTCCCGAGACGGGTCCCGCCCGATAGCCCCTTGGCCCCACAATGGTACAAGCTTGAAGACAAGAGAGGTGACAAGCTCAACAATGGAGAAATCATGCTTGCTCTCTGGAGAGGAACTCAGGCGGATGAAGCTTTTTCCGATGCATGGCATTCCGATGCAGCCACCATTGGTAGTGAAGGGGTTTCGAATATTCGAGGGAAGGTGTATCTTTCTCCTCGGCTATGGTATCTCAGAGTCAATGTCATTCAATGCCAAGATTTGCTTCCAAGTGATAGAAGTAGACCACCTGAGATTTATGTGAAGGGCATTCTCGGAAGTCAGGCTTTGAGAACTCGAGTATCTCCGGTGAGAAGCGTGGACCCCACTTGGAACGAGGATTTGGTCTTCGTTGCTGCAGAGCCGTTCGATGAGCCATTGATTTTAACGATAGAGGATCGAGTGGGGCCCAATAAGGACGAGGTATTGGGGCGGTGCGTGATGTCGTTGAGCAGTTTCGCCAAAAGGCTGGACAACAAGCCTGTGCTGGCTAAGTGGCACAATCTCGAGAAGCATGCGTATGTTGAGGGAACAACGACGAAAAAGGAGGCTAAATTTTCAAGCAAGATTCATTTACGGATTAGCTTGGATGGTGGCTACCATGTGATGGACGAGTCGATTTATTACAGCAGCGATTACAGACCGAGCTCCAAGCTGCTGTGGAAACCGAGCATTGGAGTTCTCGAGGTGGGGATTATTAGTGCGACAGGGCTGTCACCGATGAAAACGAAAGACGGGCGAGGGACCACTGATGCTTACTGCGTGGCTAAATACGGGCCGAAATGGATTCGAACGAGGACTATAATCGACAGTGGTTCGCCGAAATGGAACGAGCAGTATACATGGGAGGTGCTTGATCCTTGTACTGTGATCACTGTGGGAGTTTTTGACAACGGCCATCTTCAAGGTGGGAAGGATTGCAGCATAGGGAAGGTGAGGATTAGGTTATCCACACTTGAGACGGAGCGTGTTTACACGCACTCGTACCCTCTGGTTGTGCTGAAACCCTCGGGGGTGAAGAAGATGGGGGAGATTCAATTGGCTGTTAGGTTTTCGTGCGCGTCGTACCTCAATTTGCTGCAGAAGTACACGCATCCGTTGCTCCCGAAGATGCACTATGTTCACCCGCTCTCGGTGGCGCAGCTGGAAGCTTTGAGGTATCAGGCCGTTCAGATAGTGGCGGCGCGGCTGGGGAGATCGGAGCCGCCGCTGAAGAAGGAGGCGGTCGAGTACATGGTGGACGCCGGATCTCACATCTGGAGCGTGAGGAAGGCGAAAGCTAATTTCGTGAGGGTGATGAGCGTCGTCGGCGGCGCGGCCGCCGTCGCGAGGTGGTTCGATCAGATCCGCCATTGGAGGAACCCTCTCACCACCGTTCTGATTCACGTGCTCCTCGTGATTTTAGTTCTCTACCCCGAATTGATTTTCCCAACCCTGTTTCTGTACCTCTTCTTCATCGCGGTCTGGAACTACAGGCGGAAACCTAGGCACCCGCCGCACATGGACATCCGTCTTTCCCACGCCGACGCAGTGGGCGGCGACGAACTGGATGAGGAATTCGACACTTTCCCGACCTCGAGACCGCCGGACGTGGTGCGGATGAGGTACGACCGGCTGAGGAGTATCGGCGGGAAGATCCAGACGGTGGTCGGAGATCTAGCGGTGCAGGGGGAGAGATTTGAGTCTCTGATGAGCTGGAGAGATCCACGGGCATCGGCATTGTTCGCGGCGTTCTGCCTTTTTGCGGCGGTTGTGATGTACACGACGCCGTTTCAGATAGTGGTGCTGGTTTTGGGGCTGTACGTGCTGAGGCACCCTAAGCTCAGGGGTAAAGTTCCGTTTGTGTCGACGAATTTCTTCAAGAGGTTGCCGGCGAGATCAGATCTCATGCTGTAACCGTTTTCCGGCGATGGTGCTCATGTATTTTTTTTGTATGTATTTAATTAATTAATGATTCATTATTCTCATTTTATGCCGTGATTAGTAGGAAGAAGGTAGTGATTAAATATTAATTAGCCCATAATTTAACAACCCATTCATTTTTAGCTTATAAGTTGAGAAATTCAAACTCCCGAATTGAAAGCTTACTGTATTTAAAAAGACCAAAATAAATAAATAAAAAATTTCAATTGACACTATTCCAATATTCCTATACTCTAGTATAATAGTTTGTAAACTATACGAGAAACCTAAACTACATTAGGCTAACTATACGTGACAAGTTCGATCTAGCGACTATTGTTAATAGGATTTGAATCTTGATCAACGGTCACAAATTCACTTGCTCCAACCGCTAGACCTTCATCTACTGAACCAATATTTCTCCCATTACATGTGGAAGTTGACTTTGTTGAACGCAATTCTTAATTGGCTCAAAAGGAATATACTTGTGTTTAAAAAAAAAAATTATTTTACTTTGTATTGGTTTTTATATGTTTGCTTGTAGAATTTTGTATGCATAATAAATTGTAGAGTTGGTATTATTTTGTGTATTTATAATAAATATTATGAATTAAAAGATGCAAGGTCCAATTCTAACAGCAACTAGGCAATACCAATGAGCTGGATGAAGGTAACAAGGTATATTCCCACAGTAAAACCTTGTTGCAAACGAGCTGCAAAACACGATGATTTTTTATTTATTTTTTCCCGAATCTGGATTGTCCGTAAAATCTGTTTTTACAATGCTATCGTTAAAATACGTTGAATTCGAAGTAAAAAATTACGTCCCGAGATGAAAAATGATGGTTTCGGTCCTCGGCCACCGGAAACTACAGCTGCTGGTTTCCTCCATATGTCATAAATTAAAATTGCCTAATTAAAAACTAAGGTTTCTTATTGTTGGTAACGCCCACACACAACACAATCCAAAAATAATTATCACTTTTAATTATAGTATTTATAATAATCAAATAATTAACAATGAGATTCTCCAATAACCGACTGCCGTGTGTGACGATGACGTCACAAAACAAACTCCCTAGGAAGCATCAAAATGGAATATCTCCTAACTACAGACAGGGATTAAGGTAAACTCTCGGATTAATCGAAGTTTTTAGAGAAATTTGTCATGTACCCGTCGGACTATAAAAAAGAATCTTCAGTATGAAAATTCGATATTGAGATCAGCAGTATGACAAAGTAATGCTTTCTGGCTGCCACTTGGCATTCTGAGGTAAACCAAAGTCACCTTCTTTTGATTAGTTAGTTAATTAACTATAATTCAGTTGTGTTGTAATGTAATAAATAACAGGTCTTCGTAGATGCTAATAAGCTTATAATATTGATATATCATATCATCACCTTCCTCAAATATTTCTATGTATAGATTCTTCGGTTAAATTTCACGCAAGGTGGTGCGAGTAGAGAGTACTTACCCGAGATGGAGACCGAGAAATCAATCGAAGATCAGTTCTCGAAGCTGCATCCATGCTGGTCGTTGAACACAAGAATCGCGGTTTTAGGCGGTGGGCCCAGCGGATTATCAGCTGCTTACGCATTGTGCAAGATCGGTTACGGAAACGTGACCGTGCTGGAGAAATACCACACTGTTAGTGGAATGTGTGAATCAGTAGATATTGAAGGTAACAAAAAAAAAAAAAAAATCAAGATTCAATTTTTATTTTATTTTTTTGTTCATTTCTCCGCAGCATAAGCAAAACTTACTGAAATATTTCAACTTTGCAGGAAGATTTTACGATCTCGGAGGGCAAGTTCTTGCCGCTAGCAGCTCCCCGACGATTTTCCATTTATCGAAAGAAATGGGATGTGAGATGGAAGAAATGGATTCCCACAAACTGGCCTTGATTGATAGTAAAACAGGGAAATATGAAGACATCAAAGTAGCAGATGACTATGTATCAGTAATCTCACTAACTCTCGAAATTCAGGCGAGTTTATAATTTATTATTAAATTTAATTTCTTGAAGTTTCGATAAATCTTTCGGACGAAAAAAATTCAACTTCCGATTAAATCCATCGACAGGAAAAGGCCAAGAACTCAGGGCGAATCGGAGTTCATGCAGTGAGTGAGAGCGCTTCCGATTTAACACCAGAATTTCTCGAGGCTCGTGGAATGAAATCCGTGCCTAAATCTGTAGCGTACGGATATACTGCATCCGGATATGGGTTCGTTCAAGATATGCCTTACGCGTACATACACGAGTTCACTCGAACATCCATGGCTGGAAAAATCCGACGCTTCAAAGGCGGGTACATGAGTTTCTGGCAGAAGATCAGCAAATCCCTGCCGTTGAAACTCCTCTGCAACACCCAAGTAGTTTCGATCAGACGGTGCTCGTCCGTAGTCGAAGTCGACGTCGAAATAAACGGATCAGATCGCACCACTTTCGAATTCGATAAAATGATCGTTTCGGGTTCGTTTCCTTTCGAGCATGGCAAGACATATAGATCACCATCAGTCACTGTAGCGGAACCCGAAAGCGAAATAATGGATTTCACCGAGCTCGAAAAGGAACTTTTCGATAAAGTCCAAACCATCGATTACTACACGACTGTGATGAAGATTAAAGGGATGGAACACATGCCCGTTGGGTTTTACTACTTTGGGGAATTTATGGATGATCCACAAACAATCGGAAATCCTGTAGCAATGCAGAGGTTTTATTCCGACACTGACGTATTCCTGTTCTGGTCGTACGGAAATTATGCTGACATCACGGGCCCACAAGTGACTCAGCTAGCTATCGATGCAGTCAAACGAATGGGAGGAGAAGTCGAACGGACAATTCTACAACGCCGCTTCAAGTATTTTCCTCATGTTCAAAGCCAAGGTAAATGTTCTATAATCCGATATATCTTGCCCGAATTCTATGTTTTCGTTCCGAATTGGAGTAATAATATAATCCAACTTGGAATATAATTCAGACATAAAAGACGGTTTCTACGATAAAATAGAGACGCAACTTCAGGGCCAGAATAACACCTACTACATAGGTGGATTAATGGCATTTGAGCTTACAGAAAGAAACTCATCCTACGCCATGTCTTTGATTCGCAAGCACTTTGCGTCTGATGATCCATTACCGAAATTTCCCTACGTAAAGGTACTTAAAACTGTCGAGTTTCTTGCCACATATAATCAAATTAAAGAGACGTACATACAAAGTCGTGCTTGCTTTTTTTTTTTTTTTCATAATTTCGATTTGTTTCTGCAGAGGTTGTTTTCTGGGACGCCGGTTAGCTGCGATAAGATGCCTCGTAAGCTAGACGAATCCGAGGGAGTGGAGTTTCCGGATCTCTCTAGCCTCGATTGCTATTTAAAACACTGGGGAACACATAGTGTTATCCGAAGCAAGATTCTTTATACTTGGATAAACGATGGAGGAGAGGTATCGAGCCGAAGGACGTATATGGAGCTACATGCAAATGCCGACATCATAGCCGAAAAGCTTTTGTCCAATCGTAAACCGGTGATCAAACCGGGCGATAGGGTTCTTCTTATTCATGTTCCCGGTTTGGAATTCATCGACGCCTTCTTCGGTTGTTTACGAGCAAGAGTACTTCCGGTCCCGGTTCTTCCACCCGATCCACTCCAAAGAGGCGGACAAGCCCTCTTGAAAATTGAGAACATAGCTAAGTCGTGCAACGCAGTGGCGATTCTTTCCACCGTGGGGTACCACTCCGCCGTTCGAGCGGGGTTCGTCAAGAATTTAATCCAATTCTCGAATTTAAATGGACGAAACAGCAGCAGCACCTCTGCGCGGTGGCCCGATCTTCCGTGGCTGCACACAGATTCTTGGATAAAGAAATCCAAAGGCTCGTCCGGTACGAATATCGGTGGTGTGACACCACCTCGCGGCGACGATTTGTGCTTCCTTCAGTTCACGTCGGGGTCCACCGGTGATGCGAAAGGAGTGATGATAACTCACGGCGGACTAATCCACAATGTGAAGCTAATGAGGAGGAGATACAAAAGTACATCGAACACCGTGCTTGTGAGCTGGCTCCCACAGTACCATGACATGGGGCTGATCGGCGGGCTTTTCACTGCTCTCGTCAGCGGCGGGACAGCTGTCCTTTTTTCTCCGATGACGTTCATCAAGAACCCTCTTTTATGGCTCGAGATCATCAGCAACTACAAGGGGACCCACAGCGCGGGGCCCAATTTCGCCTTCGAACTCATGATTCGGAGATTGGAGCTCGAGAAGAACAGAGCTTTGAAGTACGATCTTTCTTCCATGGTGTTTCTAATGGTGGCTGCCGAGCCGGTGAGGCAGAAGACTCTGAAGAAATTCATCGAGCTTACTTCTCCGCACGGGCTATCGGAGTACGTGTTGGCTCCAGGATACGGATTGGCCGAGAATTGCGTGTTCGTGAGCTGCGCGTACGGCGAAGGGAAACCTATATTGGTGGATTGGCAAGGTAGGGTTAGCTGCGGGTATGTCGATTACGCCGATCGAGATGTGGATGTGAGAATCGTCGATCCGCAGAGTGGCGAAGAGCGTAAATATCCGGAAATCGAAGGCGAGATATGGATCAGTAGCCCTAGCGGCGGAATTGGGTATTGGGGGAGATCGGAGCTCAGCGAAACCACTTTCCGAAACGTGTTCGAAACCCGACCCGGTAAAATGTACACCCGGACCGGCGATCTGGGCCGGGTCATCGATGGGAACCTATTCATCACTGGTCGGATCAAGGATCTGATCATTGTTGCTGGGAGGAACATTTACTCGGCCGATGTGGAAAAGACGGTGGAAGGATCGTCGGATATTCTGCGCCCCGGATGCTGTGCTGTCATCGGCGTTCCGGAGGAGATTCTGTCCACGAAAGGGATCTCGGTTCCGGAAAGTTCCGATCGTGTCGGGTTGGTTGTTATCGCGGAGGTTAAGGATGGGAAACCGGCGAACGGAGAAGTCGTAGAGCGAATCAAGGCTACGGTTGCCGAAGAGCACGGAGTTGGCTTGGCTGCCGTTAAGCTCATCAAACCGAGAACCATCAGCAAAACGACTTCGGGCAAAATCAAACGGTTCGAGTGCCTCAAACAGTTCACCGACGGGACGCTCAATTTAGTGCCGGATCCGATAATACCGAAACGAACGCTCTTTCGGTCCAACACTACCGGCACGTGCAGGGAGGGACACACCCCCCGGCCACAGCTGAAACGGAATATTCTCACACCAACGAATACCAAATTGAGTTACGCGGAAATCGAGGATTATTTAAAGAAGCTTGTTTCGGAGCAGACGGGTTTTCCTTACAGCAAGATTTCTTCGACTGCGAATCTCACTTCGTACGGAATCGACTCCATTGGCGTGGTGAGAGCAGCTCAAAAGCTCTCGGATTTTCTCGGCGTACCGGTTGGAGCGGTCGATATATTTACGGCAACTAGCATCGAAGACTTGGCCACCTTCTCAGAGGGACTCGTGATGAAATCCCAGCCTCGAAACCCGTCGGGAGACGATCAAGAATTGGATATGTCTTCTCAATTCGAAACCGAAGTTTTCTTGCATCAAGAAGTTTCGTCATTCCACAAACTTTCTACCATGGTACTCCAATTTCTCGCACTCGCATACGTCTCGGTTTTGCTGATCCTTCCTTCGTATCTGTCGATTTCATTATACGCAAAGTTGATATCTTCCAACTTTGCCCTCATGACGACGATAAATGGATACGCACCGTACATTATTTCGCTAGCATTCACACCTCTTTCTTGGTTATTCTGCATGCTTTCCACATGCGGTTGCATATCCCTTTTCGGGAACTCGTTTCTCCAACCAAACTACGCTTTGGTTCCCGATACCTCGATCTGGTCGCTCGATTACATCAAATGGTGGGCCCTATACAAGGCTCAAGAGGTTTCATCAAAGGTGCTGGCTGTGCATTTGCGAGGAACAGTGCTTCTAAACTACTGGTTTCGGATGTTCGGAGCCAAGATAGGTTCGTCGGTGCTTCTGGACACAATTGACATAACTGACCCTGCCCTAGTTTCGATCGGAGATGGATCTGTACTTGCCGAGGGAGCATTAGTACAAAGCCACGAGGTCAAAAACGGAATCTTGAGCTTCCGCCCGATACGAATCGGAAAGAACTCCTCGGTTGGTCCGTACGCCGTAATCCAAAAGGGAACTGTTTTACGAGATGGTACTGACGTACCTGCGTTGCAAGTCACTGAGGAAGGCAAACACATCAAGTCTAACAATACTCATAAGGTAAGAATTTTCACACACACACACACACACACACACACACGCACACACATATATGTATATATAAAGCCATATATTTTGAAATTATTGCTTTCAGATTGCAGAACAGCGAAAAGAAAGCAACGAAACGCAAACGGCCATTTATCATCTTATGGGAGTTTACGTGGTTGGGTTCGTAAGCTCTTTTTCAGCAGCAATCCTCTACTTTATGTATATCCAGCTAAGCCAAATGAGTCCTAAAATCGAACACTTCATGTTTCTCTGCATTGCCGGTGCCTTCCACTGGTTGCCTCTCACAATCGTTGCATACGCTATCATCGTCAACGGTACATTATCTCTCAGCCCGTTGACATTTTCCGTTTATGTCGCCACAGCATACTCAGCTCATGGATTGATCCTCATCTTGCTCACATCCTTAATAAACCACTCCCTGTCCAAAAACAACGAATCGAGCACGAGAAAAACGTGGCTTCGCCACAGAATCATCGTCGCTTGCCATCTCAGATTCTCGAAACTCCTCTCCGGAACGGAAGCTTTCTGCATATACTTGAGGCTCTTAGGTGCAAAAGTGGGGAGACATTGCTCCGTTAGGGCTATTAACCCTGTTCTGGAACCGAAACTCGTGTCGATCGGAAACGGTGTTCATCTCGGTGACTTCAGTCGGATTATCACCGGCTTCTATTCATCCGATGGTTTCGTTAAAGGAGAAGTTGACGTGCAGGAGAATTCGGTAATTGGAAGCCAAAGCATTGTCCTCCCCGGTGCAACTATACAGAAAGAAGTGATTCTTGGTGCACTTTCAGCTGCTCCGATGAATTCGGTTCTTCAAAGAGGCGGTGTCTATATCGGATCCCAAACTCCCGTCATGATAAAGAACACAACCCACGAATTAGATGAGCGTATTGAAGAGATGGACATGAAATACAAGAAGATCGTCGGAAACCTGGCCGCAAATCTCGCCGCCACAACTCTTAAAGTCAGAACAAGATACTTCCATCGAGTTGGAGTTAGTGGTAAAGGAGTGCTCAAAATGTACGACGAAATCAAAGGATTGCCGGATCACGAAATCTTCCGATCGGGGAAGACGTATCCTGTAATAATTCGCCACAGCAACAGCTTGAGCGCTGACGATGATGCAAGAATCGATGCACGAGGAGCGGCTGTTAGAATCTTCTCCGATTCTCAAGAAGTCCCTCTCTTGGACTTGACATTGAAAACGGGAAATGCGTTTTACGCACGGACTATTTCCGATTTCGCCACGTGGCTCGTTTGTGGGCTGCCCGCGAGAGAGGAGCACGTAAAACGAGCACCTCATATCAGAGAAGCCGTGTGGACTTCTCTTCGTAATGCAGAGACTTTTACCGAACTTCACTATTACTCGAACATATGCAGGCTGTTGAGGTTCAAAGATGGAAGCGAAATGTATGTGAAATTCAAGCTGAGGCCGTTCGATGAGAGAATAACCGAAGATTCGGGCAAGGTTGAGCCAATAGGAATCCTCCCACCAGAAACGGGTGCAATTCCTCGTGACAGCAATGACAAACGTCCGATGCAGTTTCTGGCTGATGATTTTCAGACACGCGTGAGCTGTCCTGATGGGGTTCGATACGTTTTTCAGCTACAATTCCGGCCTGTGCCTCGTGATGTGGAAACGCAAGACGAAGCTCTTGATTGTACTAAACCGTGGGACGAGGTTGAGTTCCCGTTTGTTGATGTTGGAGAGGTGGTCATTAGTGAGAACCTCACAAAAGAGCAGACTGAGAATCTTGAATTCAATCCTTTCTTAAGGTGTGAAGAGGTCGATGTGATAAGGGCGAGATCGGCCTCGCAGAGCGCGTCGATCGATCATGGCCGCTCGTTGATTTATGAGATTTGCCAGCATTTGAGGAACAACGATCCACTACCGGAGGCGTGGAGATCGTTTATCGAGCAATCGGACGTCAAGGTGGACCTGTCTGGCTGTCCTGTTGCAGCATCAATGTCACATAAACGGGATTCGAATTCGAATTCAGGCGAAGGAGTGACACTAGCAAGAACATGGTACCAAACATCATGGTCCATTTTGGCGCAGCCGTTGCTACAGACGTTCTTGCCGTATTTCGTATTGGCATACGTAATTTCCCGCCCTCTAAATTGGGTGCTTGTTTCTGCAAACAAATATCCACTGCATTGGACGCTACCGTTGTTTTGGGTGATTTCAGGGGTATGGGCGGGAATAGCTTGTGCGGCGGCGAAATGGGTTCTCGTCGGAAAGAAGAAAGACGGCGGAACTGCGCTGATGTGGAGCAGATCGGTATTCATGGACACGATCTGGCAGGCTTTCAAGACGTTGGTAGGGGAGTATTTCATGGAAACGACGATGGGTTCGATGCTTTTCGCGGCGTGGATGAAGTTGATGGGATCGGAAATCGAGGTGGGGGGAGGGGTCTACGTGGACACGATGGGAGCGATTCTGAACCCTGAGATGGTGGAGATTGAAAGGGGCGGGTGTGTGGGGAGAGAGGCTCTGCTTTTCGGGCATATATACGAAGGTGAAGGTGGGAAGGTGAAGTTTGGGAGGATTACGGTTGGGGAAGGTGGGTTTGTGGGGAGTAGGGGGGTCGCTATGCCGGGGGTGGTGGTGGCCGACGGCGGCTGTCTCGGTGCTCTGTCGCTCGCCATGAAAGAAGAAGTTGTACGGATGAAATCGCAGAACTGAATACTGTGAAATAAATATGCAGGCCTCCTATTTTGGCTGTGAGTTTATAATGCAAGAATAAAATTGTAAGGTGCCCTATATTAAATTTAATATAAATTTAATAAAATAATCTGATAAATTTAATAAAACATAAATGCTTATATCCAAAAGCAAAACATAAAGTACTGCCTTGAAATGTAACTGCACTAAACCAGATTCATACGAAAAATGTTGAGCTAAAATGTTTAGCAAAACGCAAACTCGGTTTCTCTAACAAAATAATAGGAAAGAGAATGCCTAAAATTAACTACGGAATTAGGAGTCGGGCGAGTTTAGTTCGTCACTCCACCAAAAACTAACCGAAAAACTAGCAGTGAGAGAGCGCACATAGTGCCACCACTTTGGAGGAATGTACAGCATCTCCCCTTCCTCTAGTACGCAATCCACAAAATCCAAATCCGATATTCCCGGAAACTCTTTCTCGTCTATTTTGTCCAGATCAACCTTCAATACCGAAAAAAAAAATCTTTAGGCAGAGAAAAAGGACAGTTGATCAAATTATATAATTAACGGCTGGGGCAAAGCAAGTTACCTGGCTGGAATTGCAAAGCATGGTCTCTGAGTGAGGGTAAAGCTCTTCCGACAAAGAAGCAGGGTAGAGTCTAATATACTTTTTACCGACAACCTGAGAATAAGTATACACAGAAATATCAATATTCAATAGAAAGAGAGGGAGGAGCAAATATCCGACAACATCAATAAACACATATATGGCAATGTGAACGTAATCCAAGACACTATCAAATTTATACGGCCTCAGATATACATCTTGCAAACCTGAGCAAGTATATTATGATGTGGATCATGATGCAACGGTGTTACTGTGCCAGGTGGACCGAACCAAGCATTAAGGGACCTGATCTCGCCTCCACCAGCAAAACAGTAGTCCGGTATTACAATATCCTGCTTTAGTTCTTGTATCTGGCATTTACATGCAACAGTTTTTAAACACTTTTTCCTTTTCTTTTAACTGAACTTTACAGTACCAAAATACAACAAAATACAGTTCGTAAAGTCGAAGCGATCATGCCTGATCAAACAATTGGTGCTGAGCCAAATACGTCAAGTTTGCAGAAGAACGGTCACTCGATTGAATCCTCCCCAGAAACTCGGAAAATGTGATCAACTCTTGCTTCCAATCTGGTGACAGGTAGTTTTTTCCGACCTACGTAGTATTTTTTCACATTGATATTCCGAAATAAATAACGGAAGAATCTAAAGCATTAATAAAAAAAAGATTCTCCCGAGTTCAAGAATGGGAAAGATACCTCAACCGGAACAGTGCGGAAGCCTGCAACCCGTTTAAGGTAATTCATGTCATTCCATGTATCTATGGCTGGCCAATGATTCATAGAATCGCTAATGATTACTGGAGAACCGGAGATGAAATGCTCTTGCAAGAATCCTTCCAACGAAAGTCTGCACTTTTTTGCTACCGTCTTACACGAAAGCGACCTCACAGGTAATAACTTAACTACCTGCATGTTCGAATTCAAGATAAACCATAGAGAAATCATCACTCTTTTCTGAGTTTTGCATAAACAATACGAAAAATTAAAACCAAAACGAATCGGATTGGATCCTCCGAATCACTTGTAATGCTTTCTTGATCTTTGTTCTTTTACAACAACTTCCGACTTTGTACCATTGAACCGCGCTCGCCCCATCGTTTTCTCAGAAAATAGAAGAAAAAAATATATATGTTCAAAGTTTAACGTTAGATTGAATGTTAGTTTCTTCTGCAATTAGATCATCTTTTCAAATTACATTTGAGCCTAAATGATTTGTTTCTTCCTTTCAGTTTCATTCTGATGAGAAAACAAAAGGAACGATTACATTTGAGTAGCACTCAATCCGTATCAAATAGTTGTACACCATCTTTAATAAGTTGTACTCTTCTGAAATGAACAGCAGCTTCATACTTTTGAAAACAGAGGGGAAGGAGAAGTAGAAACGAACCTTACCTCCACCAAGTTGAAATCTCTATACCACTCACTCTTTTCCTGCGGGCAGCAGTTATCGCCGGACTCCTTCGCCCTCGCGGCGGCGCTGACTTTCCGAATGCACAGATTCAAGTCGTCTCTTAGGGTCAACCCGCCCATTATGAGGCCCATATCAAGCGCCCTTAGAGCTAGGTCAAACTCCCCGGAGGAGAAATGGAGTTTGGCCACGTGGAGGCTAGCCATTGAGTAGGCGTCGCGCCAGATGGGGCCGACTGAGTGCCAGGGGCCGGAGTGGAGCTGCTCCCAGGCCATATCCTTGGCGGCCTCCGCCGCCCTAGCATCGCCGGCGGCGGCACGAGTGGCTATTGAGGCGAATGCGTAGCCGCCTTCTTCCGTCACTCGCTGCAAGAGAGAAGGAAGATTGGAATCGAGGATTGGGGTTTCGAGGGTGGCGTCGGAGGTGGTGGACATGGGCGGCGGTACGGTGGTTGTGAGCAGAAGCTTCGAAGAGTGTGTGAGTAGAGAGATATTTTAGTGCTTTTGTGGTAGGGCCTTTTTTCTTTAATGGAAAAAGTGAATTCAAAAATATCTTTATTAGGTGGAAAGGGCATTAGATATTTTTCATATAGATGACGTGGCCACGGTTTCCGTACCGTAAAATTAGGGGTTCAAAATTTTCCCATTATGGAACAATATTTTCTATTTTCGGATCAAAAATATATGAAATTGGAATTGATCGTTTTCGATTTCATTTTTGCGAATTGAAATTGGAGAATATATGAAGTTCCGATTTCCCGTCCAATTTTAATTTCTGAAAATTTCGATTGCTTTTCCGAAAATTACACTAATAATATAAATATAATATTACGCATTTTATGTTTTAGGTACTAATAATCAGAATTCTTGATACGTAATTCAATCTTCTGGAATCCGAAGAATGCATCGATCGAAAGTAGCTAAAAATCAAACGGAGCAAATCAAGCAACCAATGATTACGAATCGATTTGATTGCTGAGAGTTGATGTAATACGCAATACCCTCGACCAATATATTACTCTTTGATCGTTTGGTAGATGTAGGCTCTCATTCAGTCGACCCACGTCAATCGTACGCGACCGTTTGCATTTCTATTAGACACACTAACACACTTTTCCACACACTTACTTATATCTACAAAGAACCTTACACTTAATCACTTGATCATGCACATAAAACCCAGGCATTACCATAATCTTCACCCTACAACTATTCCCACTCTTTCTTTGCTTCTCCCCAAACACATCCTCCATATAACAACCGTCGAAACTCCGATTTTCATCGACTCTCAATATCCCCAAATTCGGATAAAACGAGAACGCAAGCAAGTGCAACAACCACACGCACTTTCCCGCCACAAAAAACGATCGGAGTAGATCTTCCGGCCACGGAATATTCCAACCGAGGCTCCCTACGATCCCGCTCATTTTCTGATCGCAGAACCTACTAAACTCCTCGCTGTAATATCTCGTCCCTTTTCTCAAAACTTCCTCCCAGCTCAGGTTCCTCAACTTAACAAACAATTCGAAACGGGACCTGCGTTCTTCGTGGGGGTCGAGGAAACTCGGGGACCCGTTTTTGCGGAACGAGCAGTTTTCAAAGTCTTGGTAGAGCGATTGGTTTACAATGGCTTCCAAATGACAGAGAAGTAGTTTCGAGTTTTTCGAGTGTAGGGAGAGCTTGTAGGGTTTGAGGAGCGAATTCAACGAGTTGTGTTCGTTTTGATCTCCGATTTGACCGAGTATAGTCTTGCAGAGTTGGTTGACCGATATTCTTGCTTCGGATACTATTTGCAAGAACCCCTCGACCATTACTTCGTCGCTAACCGGCATGGGATTGTCTGCGCTAGTATTCTTGATTTCGACGGTCTGTTTTAAGGCCCGTTTGAGTTCTTCGCAGTAAGTCTCTAAGTACTCGAGCTTTTGTCCAAGTTCCCCGAGCGACGATTTTGTTTCGGCAACTTCAATCAAGGCTGAATCTCTACTATCCTTCGCTTCGATTAGCTCTTTCCTCAACGTCTCGTTTTTCGTCTTTGTTTTTAGCTTCGGAAATAGCCAAGATAAGCTCGTCCCTTTGTTTCTCGATTGCGAGTGAAGCGAGGAGTGGGAATCCGTTGAAGGGGCGATAACGTTGGATTTAATGCTGTTCTTGGAGAGGTTATCGGGATTTCGAGAATTTCGATCGGATTGAGAAAACCCTTTTCGTGTGGATTCATTTGCATTCGTTTCGTGATCCGACAAGATTGTTTCTTGAATGTTTCCGCTGTCGAAAGCGCGGTTGCCCCAAGTTTTCGAGTGGCGTTTTCGATAATCCGACAGAATTTGGTGATAGCCGGTGAGTGGTTCATCTTCATAACTCTGTTTAGACATCGAAAATTGAATTGGAAAGGACTAATAAATTATAGGCAACTAAATTCATAGTAATTCAGACAAGTGTACTGCAAGTTCTATCTGTGGATATAGAGACAAATATATATATATATATATATATAGATGAAAGAAAAACCTAAACATGGTAACAAACATATACTTACAGGGGTGAAAACAGGGTAATCTTGGGAAGAGAGACGGCGAGAAACAGGGGAGGCGGAGGGTAGGCTGAGGTTGGCGGCGGCGTGAAGTGCCTGGAGCTCCGCCGCTTTAGCAAAAGCTGCTTGAATATCCCGCCGGTGCCGGCCACTTTCGCCGTTTCCGGCGTGGCCGTGTTCTTCTTGGTAAGTAATTGCCGCCGCCATTAACAGAGTGCAGAAACAGGGGAGAAGAAGATACGCAGAAGGAAGGTAAAAGATATACAGAGATGTCTGAGAATTTATTGTAAGTTTGTAAAAGATCGAAGAAGACAGCAAAAATGGATGAACGGTTGGATTTGGTTAGCAGGCAGATCATATCCAGTGAAGGATTCGGGAGAGCCAAGGAATATTGTAGAAAGAGAAAGAGGAGAGAGAGAAGGATTTTGTCATTGTCTTTGTTATCAAATGTAGTAAATTTGAAGCAGTGCATGTGAACAAGAGAGAGAGGGGATGAGAGAGAAACAAGTGTGTGATGAGGATGACATGAGAAAGTGGTGAATTACCAAATCACCCTTCTCATCCTCATCTTAACTCTTAAGTCATGAATTTCTTATTTTTTGACTGAACCATTTTTATTTCATTACGTATTATAAAAATTAAAAGTTGTTCAAGTGTTTTTCATCAAGTGAATTAAATAGATTATATTGAAGCTTTTACTAGTGATAAAGAATCATAAAAAAAAAAAATATGTTTCGATCTAATACAACAGTCGTTTCGAATTTCGAATGATGGCTACGACGATAAAGTACTAGTTCAGAAACGGCATTGGAGCTTGGGGAAGATGTTGAAGAGCAACGAACGAGCCATAATCTTGAGGCTTTTCTGCGTCAAGTGGACCCCATCCCAGCTTACGTACCGTTCAGCATCCGTGCATATCGGTACGCCGCGGCTTCCGCATCGTCTTGTCATGTTGAAGTTGTATTTACCTCCTATTCCGCAGCACGCTTTTTCCGTATCCATTCCTGCATGCGTCCAATCCCAACCGTTAAAACAATGTTATTGCTTGTTTATTGATTCTAATAATTAAATTTTCAGAATAAAAAAATATATAGGTATAGTGAATTAGGTATACGAACCGGTAAATCTAGCGTAACGAAGGAGATATTGGTAAGCTTTGTAGTAATCCGCATAGATTACTGTAGCGTGCGGCTTCTCTTCGTTGAGCCTTTCGATTCCTTGCTGGAGTTGTTGGTTGTGGTACTTTGCGAATTCGTTCAACTGCTTCACGCATTGGTTTTCGTCGTATTCTGTCGAGCTATTCCTTACGGAAGCTGTTTGATATATCGGGAAACACCCGATGGGGAAGTTTCCGGGAATCACTACTCGTGTCGTTCCCAAATTGATTAGTTTCTGCATGATTATTTTCAAAATCAATCAATAATCATATATATACATGGTAAAAAATATAAATAGTTACAAACTTGTTATAATTATAACGATGAATTTAGTTACGTAGTACGTACCCTAGCGGCATCGATGGTGGCGTCAACTACATCGGGTACCATGCTCGTCAATTCTTCAGTTGTTTTTCCTTGTAAGATTGCGTCGTTGTAGTAGTTTCCGCTAACTTCTCCGACCAAGGAAAGTGCACGTCCGAGTTTTCCTCTACAATCTGATGATTATTAAGAGACAACGAATTATTGAAAAAAAATCTTCAAAAAAAGAAACACAATTGAATACATTGCAAATAGATGTTTACCTTTTCGATCGAGACAAATCGAAGTCAAGTGGCCGGACATTGAATGGACAGGGACTTGTCGGATAAAGTTTCGGCCGGAAATCGTGTCGCGTGATTGGTACAGCAGATCCAGTTTGCAAATCTGGTGAGAATTGGTGTAACTTGGTGCGCAGCATAAAAGTAAGAAACATAAAGAAAGAAGTAAGAAGAACAATTTCGCCATTAATTAATTCTTTGGCTAGAGAAAATATGATGTATGCGTTTGTGATTTTTTGTGGTGGTGAATAGGTTTATTGGTTTATATATGTAGAGAAGGTTTTGTCTATTTGAATTAGAATTAGACATTGAGATTAAATTCGGATTCTAATGGGAATTGACATTTTGCACTCTCGATTTACAAGTGTTTGCCACTGTGCGCTCTTAAATTGCAAAAATTGCAGAATGCACCCTCCAATTACAATTTTCTTCACAAAGTGCACCCTAATTCAGTTTTTGGTTAAAATAGGGCTTCAAAAGGAATAGGGTTTATGGGAAATTCATCTCACAAACAGGTTGCCGGTCACATTTTTAGTTATAAGTTGAATTAGGATGCACTTTGCCCAGGGAAATTGTAACTAGAGGTGCATTTTGCTATTTTTGTAATTTAAGAGTGCAAAGTGCAAAACACTTGTAATTTGAGGGTGCAAAATGTCAATTTCCAGGATTCTGATTGTTGAAAGTTGAAACTAAAAGGACTCTATTTGATACGAGACGTGGACTGTTTAAAAGAAAAAATTATACCCCCGATAATTTACACAATTTACAGTGACATTCGATAAAATTTAAAAAAAAAAATTAAATTAATAAAAATAACTTTCCCTTTTAGGCCCCAATTGAAACATGGCCCAATAATCTATATACACAAACAAGGCCTACTTGCAGCAAAGCCCAGCTATTTTATGAAAGAAACTATTTTATTGAATAATAATTAGTTCATGCTTTGAAATATATTAACAAATTTAATTTTATCAAACTATTATTGTGGAATATTTATTTTCGATCATGAAAAATACAATATTAAGCCCCATGCTTATTTAGTGTTTATGACATGATTAGTGCATTCTTAATGAGGTTTTTGCAATCATAAATTTTAAGAATTTAAATTTTAAATAATCATGCAGCTTGTAGGAGGTATTTAGTTCTTGTCACGCATATGTGTGGGTACAATCTTATTTTGGTGTTTTTTTTTTCTGGTTGACTAATACTTATTGATTGTACTTGATTAATATTTGGTAATTGATACATCTAATTATGTTTTCTTTATTGATTTTCCACAACAAAATCAATGTATTAAGAATGTGTGATATTTACAATAAACTCGTGTAAAATATATATGAATCTATACACGTCGTATAGTAAAAGATAACTCAATAAATTTCAACGAATGTAGCATAAAATAATTTTTTTACTAAATTTTTAGGATTTGATTGTTAGTAAAGGTAACTATTAATCGACCGAATATCCAGAAATCAACATGGAAAAAAGAAGAAACGCTTGAGGGGGAAGATGAAGAAAACGATCTGATTTCATTAGATTGAAAAAGTGCTTGTAATGGTAACAAAGAGCTAAGAATACGAAATCGCTATTCGTATCACTAAAACCATTACAAAAAGCGATTACAATACAAAACCAATAACACTTTCATTTATGCCAGCGCCGATAAAAAAACGAAAATAATTGAAAATATACATTATATTCCAACAGTAACTACTATTTGATTTGTCGTCTTTTCATGCATGGATTCGTCTAATATAAAGTTACATCTCTCGTATAATCTAAAAACTATTGCACGACAAGATATTTCAATTTCATACCGCGCATGTTAAAAAAAAACAAAAAAAAAAAAAAAAAAGAAAAAAGAACTGCCCTTTAGTTGGTTAGTTAACCCCATGATTACTATACCAGTGTGACAAGCCGGCCACGCCTAGGAGACAAACTAAAATTAGTCCCCACCGGCCGGCCCCCGGGTCTAGTCATTTTACTCCATGGTCAAAAAGTAAAACTCTAATCAATTTCTTTACTTTAACTTCTACAACTACCAACAGATAAGATAAAGCCATTTTCCCTAAAGTCAAAAGCTTTCTTTCAACTTTTTTTTTTCAAAATTATTTCCCAACTTCAAAAAAAAAAAAAAAAACTTATTTGGTTGGTTTTTGAAAATTTTCGAATTATTTTGTCAAAAATGAAATAATGTCTCCTTCTCGATCTCTCTCCTCATGCGGTCTCCGCCTTCACGGGTTTCTCTTAATCCCCGTTTCTTGTTTTTCTTGCACTTTTTGATCGTTTCGAAGAAAATGGCACATGTGAGTACAGTAGCATCCCAAAAAGAGCAAACATAGTTATAGTTAGCAATAGTGTTATGTTTTCTGTTGACTCTCTCCCTCCCTATATATAAATATGAACTTAATGAGAAGACACATTTTATAACAGCTTAGAAGTAGGCTGAAGTGGAGATGAAGGATAGCGGCAGAAAACAAGGTGGGGCGGCATCACCATGTGCAGCCTGCAAGCTTCTTAGGCGGAGATGTGCGGAGGATTGCTTGTTTGCTCCTTATTTTCCCGCGGAGGAGCCCCACAAATTCGCCAGTGTTCATAAGGTCTTTGGTGCTAGCAATGTCAACAAGATGCTCCAGGTTTTCATCTCTCTCTCTCTCTCTCTCTCTCTCTCTCTCTCTCTCTCTCTCTCTCTCTCTCTTGATGATACACTTACACTGAAAACACATGCAGGAACTGCCGGAACATCAAAGAGGGGATGCAGTGAGTTCAATGGTGTACGAAGCAAATGCACGCGTGAGGGACCCAGTGTACGGCTGTGTGGGAGCTATATCTTCCCTTCAGCAACAGATCGACGCCTTACAAGCTGAGCTGGCACTCGCCCAGGCCGAAGTCGTGCACCTACGTATGCGCCAGCTGTCATCCAACGCTGACAACCCATCCCCTTCAACCAAGGGAAGGCGCTCTCATCATCATCAACCCAAGTCCCTTTTCAACATGGACATGTCTACAGAACACGACAACAATATGGACGATCCCTTTTGGCCTTAAAATCCTAATTACGTAATTATTGGCTGTGTCGATCTTTTTCACTTTCACATCTCGTGTTTTTCTTCTTTCTTTGTTTGTTTGTTTGGCTTTCTTACATACATACAGCATATATGATCTGACTATTGTAAATTCCGGAAGCGTATACTTACGAGTTATAATTAATATCGCAATGTGTGTCGAACTGAGTATCTGCGTATTTCCAATTGAAAAAAACTTTGATTTCAACACAAAACATTCTTAGCAGCAAAGATCGACCACAACCAATTAGCTAATTAATTTCTATACTAATCATAAAAAAACAGAATCAACGTCAACATTGAAAAGTAAATCCGAAACCCTAAAATCAAACCCTAAGCCCTCTCACCCCTAATCCTCCTTGCCAGCTGGATATCCTTGGGCATGATTGTAACCCTCTTGGCATGAATGGCGCAGAGATTGGTGTCCTCAAAGAGACCCACCAAGTAAGCCTCCGCCGCCTCCTGAAGAGCGGCGACGGCGGAGCTCTGGAAGCGGAGATCCGTTTTGAAATCCTGGGCGATCTCTCTGACAAGCCTCTGGAACGGAAGCTTCCTGATCAACAGCTCTGTGCTCTTCTGGTACTTTCTGATCTCCCTCAGTGCCACCGTTCCGGGACGGAAGCGGTGGGGCTTTTTGACTCCTCCGGTGGCGGGGGCGGATTTCCTCGCCGCCTTCGTCGCCAGCTGCTTCCTCGGCGCCTTGCCGCCGGTGGATTTTCTCGCCGTCTGCTTAGTACGCGCCATTGATCGGAGATTAACAGCTAATTAATGAATTGGAATAGAAGAATTATATGAGATTCAGATGATTGAATGAGGGATGATGCGGTGAGTGAGATCGGGGTTAGGGATTTATAGGATTGTGAAATGGGGATTTGAGTGAAAATCTGAGCGGGAGGGTTTTGAAATATTTGGGGGAATTTGATAATTTTTCGGGGGAGTAGTTGTGTTTGTGTATGCCGTTGGATTAATTGTGAGCAAGGGCCGAGATTTGATCTGGAAAGTTATGATCACTATCCGCGTGCGGGAAGACTAGCCAATAGGAAGACAAATGTCTGCAATTCCTTTGGAAAATCTGAACCGTCGATTGCGAGTTTCTGGTGTTTCAGTTTGTTGTGGGCCTTGGTGTTTCAGTTTGTTGTGGGCAGCCCAAATCAGATATTGCCAGTCACCAGATGTGTAATCCAAACTTAATTTGATTTTTTCACTTATAATTCAAAATCTGTTAAATATTACAAATTAAATATTAAATACTAAGGTGCTATTTGCAAATTATTATTTAAAAGTAGAAGTTAGTGATTGTGAGTTAAGTCAGTTTTAAGTGCTTATTTCTAAAAGTTGAGGGTGTTTGTAAATATTCCGGAAAATGAACTTAAATAGGAAAAGTAGGGTTAGAGGTACTTTTAAAAAAATAGCTTAAAGCAGATTATTTTAAAAAAAACAAAAGCAAAAGTTGATTTTGCAAACACCTGAAAACAGATTATGAGCAAAAAAAAGTTCATAATCACTTTCAAAAAGTTTTTGCAAACACCACCTAAATACTAAACATTACCCATAATAATGAAGATAGATACCAACTTAATTCTCTAATATAAGTTATTTATTGAGTGTAACAGAATTCAGGCACAAGCCATGCCAATAATACACCTGGATTTTGAATCAACTATATGAACAACTATCACAAGTGCATATATAGCATCATTTATATATATATACACATCCAAATTCAAATTAAACCCCCAAAACAAAAACCAACAATTAACACACAAAAAAAAAAAAAAAGTAATAATAATAAGTCACATTTTCACACACCATTATCCGTAAGACCGAAATCGCGCAAACGGAACGAAAACTCGCCGGCATTATTCCGTTCAAGCGTAATATCCGGCTCGTCGCTAACTTCGATCTCATAGTCATCTTCCAAATCCTCTTGGTCGTCAACTTCCAGCGGCACCACCTGACTCTGATTAGCGGGCCGTTCCAAATTAGGCGGGCTTGACGTTGACGTTGACGTTGACATGGCCCGGGCCCGGATGCTGCCCACGTTAGCGTAGTTCACCCTCCGGTCCCACAAGAAGACGTGCACTATGATTGCCATCCTGGCGTGGCGGTGGAGCGACAGTTTTTGGCTGAGAGAAACGGTGTCGAAGCACCGGATTGCGCCCGCGGGAGAAACCATCCACGGGAGCACCTTTCGGTTCGATATTCTTGAAACCACGAGCAATCTTGATGCTTGCGATGCTTGTTTGTAGAGATTGTTCAATCCCGATCGCTCCGAAGGGTTGTCTGCTTCGACCACAGACGATATGTATATGAACCCCTGCAGACCAAAAAATCGGAATGAAGAAATCTCTATTTTAGTCACCTTTAATAATAAAAAAATATATAATGTGTAATATTCGGGAAAGAAAATGAGAATTTTTTTTTCGGAAATTGAAACCGAATCGAAATTCAGAATCTAATATGTATTCCAACTCCGTTCAAAAAAAATCACAAAAATCGGAATCGGAACTTCCGGAATTTGCAACAGAAACTATTTTTCCAAAATCATAAATATTCGGATCGGAAATTTTCTGTTCCAATAAAGGTACCTCTTCGGTTCTGCTGATGGTGAATCCGAGCTTGGTGTCGGTGTCGTTGATTTTGATCTCAACTGGAATCTCCCCCGCGAGAGCGGAGAACCATAGACGAACGCCTCTCACAACGCCAATGTCCACGCCGTGGTAGTCCTCAAAACCGTAGATGCTCGTGTTTGCAAGGTTCGACAGGTCAGCAAGCGATCCAGCACTCACCGTAGAAGAAGCTGTATCTCCCGATATCTACAAAAAAAAAATTAAAAAGAATTAATAATAATAATTGAACGATATATAGTTATGATGAAAGCATATTCGAATTATATATATATATAACAATATACACCTTGGTGAGTAGGGATTCGGTTTGAATGTTCATGAAGACGATAGGAACACCGGAAGCCTGAGAAGCGTTGATCCATGCGTGGGCCCGAGCCAGGGTGTCCTCAAGGTCGTTGTAGCGGGACCCGGCTTTGTCGACCGCTTTTGGCAACAAGAGTATGGAATAGAATGTGCTTGAATTCGGAACCGAGAGCATCTCGTGCATTCTATGCTCCCATGGGTACGATACGTAACCATCTTCGAGCGGAGCTTTCTCGAGTGCACTCACCATCCTTGAGGTTCTAGAAGCTGCATTAATTACCAAATTAATTAATTAATTATAAATTATCAGCTAAAATTAAAAAAAAAAAAAAAAAAAAGTTTCTAGGCATGCAAAGTGGTGAGTTCAATTGATATTAATAAATGCACTTTGAGTGTGATTATGGAAATGCATGGGAAATTAATTCGAACTGATAATTTAAATTAATTAATGATTTATTTAATTCATATTTGCTTCAATTATAGGTATACATGTCTTGGTTACATAAATTGTAGTATTCTCGAATTCCTATATGCCTCTTACTCTTACATATATATATATAGGGGAAAGAATATTGCAACATGGCAACGTTGATGTAAACGAAGATCAATATATATATATATATATATATATATATATATATATATATATATATATATATGGGGAAAAAAGAGACCAATTAAGACAGTGGATCTAGAAAAAATCCAACAGAGGGAAAGAATAAAAAAGTACAATTTGGATTAAAGTATTGTATTAAGTTTTGGTAATCCTTGATCCACCATTAATTTGAACTTAATTTAATTCATAAATCCGTGAAATAAGGGATGCGGTTACGTGTAGCTCTGAACAATCTATTAAAATAAAGACTTGTACAGATTTGATACAAATCAGATGACATTTTTTTCTTTCATTGGAAATAATCAGATGACATTTATTTCATACAAGAAAGATAGAAAGAACTATCTTACTACTTAGGCCAAATTACAACGAACCCCTAATTTATGGTTAAATTACGAAAAACTCCCTCTTGTTTGGGTAATTACAACCACCCTCAACTATATATAATCTTACGAAAAGACCCCTCCATAGGTAAATTAATTGATGTTATTTCGGTAAACCCGAACCGAAATTTCGGTACGCCAACATTTCATACCGTTTACCGACCTAAATATACGATTTGGTTCAGTAAATAAGCGAATTACATAAATTTTATCTAATATATTTAAAAGGAGGGGTGGCTGTAATTACCCAAACCAGAGGGGTTTTTTCGTAATTTGATCATACCTCAAGGTGGCCGTAATTCACGCCCTTATAAATATATAGACTCAATTCGGACTCGAACTCGAACTCGAACTCGATTCGAGTTCGGTTCGGTTAAGTTTCGTTCAGAGCTCGATTCGGCGCATAATTAATCGAATCAAGTTGGAACACAATCTTTAATACTAATTAAAAACCACACTTATGCAAAAGCATCACAAGGTTCATTACTCCAGCAAGAATTCAATGTGAACAAAAACACAGACAAAGTAATTTGCCAAATAAAATGCTGACTTGATTTTTTTATTTTATTTTAATCTTTTTTTTTTGTCTTAATTATACTCAACAACCAAATAATTTCAACATCAACATGCACTGTGGTCCACGGTACCCGGCTCAGTATTCTCCCCTCCCCGGGCCCCTCTTTTTT